GTCATACGGACCTAAATCAGGGGAAAAYGGTGGTCGGGCACTATATTTGTGGAAAATTTGGTGAAAATCTCACTAAAAATCATTATCGTGGTGCAAAAACCAGGGGTTGTCACATAATTCCGACCTCTTTTTAAGAATAGCTTCACGCAAGCAGCAAATAACACTCAAGTAATATTCTATTCGAAAAGAATTCGGCGGGCACCACACCTCGATAATCGAAGAAACATTACCTTGATTTTTTACCTGCTTTCACGTGGGTTTTTCGGCTTCGGCCCCCCGTTGCCATGATACTCGGCCAATTGATCGTCTGTTTCCGGGTAGTAAGCATAGATCCAAGACTCATCGCCAGTAATAATACGTGTCATGATAATTCGTTTTTATAAATGAGTCGGGTCACTTGGCACGAATCTAGCTTTCACACGCTCAATACCTAAGATGTTGAGACCCTCTGCTACTCSTCTGATGCCAACACGATGATTTTCAAGTACTGYTTCTTTAACTTTTTTCCGAATGTTATCGTCAATTATGTATTTCCCCGGGAAAAAACAGACTTTTTTAACAAAGTTTTTCTCAAATAAAAATTAAATATTTTATTAGAATTTTATATTGTTACAAACATTCGCTATTAACAATGAAATTTTGAAATTTATGGAAAAATTATTTTAAACGCGGTCTTTGCTACGCCATTTCCGGTGACCCCTCGGAAAAAAGATGAGCCCCGTTGGCAGCATAACTACTTACAGGATCAATCTAAAAGTGAAAAAGTAAGAATTTCAACTTAACTTATAACTTAGACCAAGAAAAGAAAAAACTAAAAATTTAGTTTTTGGGAGACATTTTTACAAAAAAAAATTAAAATTTCGCGACATTTTTTTTTTTCAAATAGTTGTAATCGAATCCTTTGTCCCAGTTTTTAAGAATTGTATCTCAAAGACTTTTGTARAATTTAATGAACACCGGTTGAGTAGTTCTCTAGAAATCTTGCCAACCGACTTCAAAAGTTTCGAGAAAAACGCGTTTAAAGACGATGCTCTTAGCCTAGCTAGCCTGGAGCGCACCAGTTCTCAATACTGTATCTATCACTCGGATCAATTTGGARATAAAAATTGTCTGGGAAATTTTTTGCATCGTTACAAATATATAGCCACCAAACACAAAGTAATTGACTTATGAAGATCAAAATTTAAAAATTTTAAAAAAGGTTCGGGTCAAATATGATCCCATGACATTTTCGAAGCACAATTTCATTTTATGCCTATTGTGCCCTGAAATCCATCAACTTCACATCAAAACTTATATTCGTTAGTATCAGCATAGTGTTCTAGTTTTGATGCTATAGACTTAACATTATGTCCACAGAATATTGTCGGATATTTTTTGCAATGCAAAAGTGGTAATTTGTATATGTCTTTCCCTTTGGTAATCACTTTCGATAATTTATTCARGAATTATAGCGTATTAATGAAAACGGAATAGCTGCAAAGATATATATTTGAGACATATAGTAAGTACTTCTATACAAACTTCAAAATACTCACGATTATGCTGTAAAGCCTTTAATGCTTTTAATTACCACACTCATTGCTGTCATTGTTATTGTGCTTGTATTTCTTTCATTTACAGATGTTCACGACCTCCCACATTGTTGGAGGTCACATGAAAAACTCGCAACTTAAAAAGTAAAATCAAACGTCAAGCATTCACCAAAATACATGGCATGTTGCTACATTTTGCCTCATGACACCTACACACACTCATATAMATATGTTTATATACATACATACAAGTACTACAAATGCAAAACGAAAACTGCAACAACGCTRCAGCCACGTTTGATGTTATTGTTGCTGACGTATTGTTGCACATATCCACCGTAACTGGGGTGCATTGCAGCAATTGTTGCYGCCGCTTGTTTTGCTATAAAATAGAAAGTGAAGCGTGCCGCCAAGGGGCGGCTGACTGACAGGGGGTAGGAAGCGAGAGAAGTTTAGTCGAATAAAAGGCAATAAATTTGTCGGCAAAACGCTGCGGCTGTCAATGGATAGCCGTGTACAAGCGTTTTTTTTCGCAAAATGAAAGACGAAAAGCAAAAACAAAAACAATAAACAAATAGGAGCGTACAATCGCGAAATCAATAGTAAAACAACCATTCATTCATTCATTCATTCCCTGTCTATTATGTGCAACAGCA